TGGTCAGAGAGAGTTAAAATTATCTGGGGGAGTTAAAATGGTCAGGGGGAGTTGAAATGGTCAGAGGGGTTAAAGTCAGGGGGAGTTAAAATTATATAAAATTTATTATATAAATTAATGTGGTCAGGGGTGTTAAAATGGTCAGGGGTGTTAAAATGTTCAGGGTCAGTTGAAATGGTCATGGGAAGTTAAAATGATCAGGAGAAATTAAAATGGTCAGAAGGAATTAAAATTATCAGGGGGGAGTTAAAATGGCCAGGGGGTTTAAACTCGGGGGGGTTAAAATGGTCAGGGGGAGTTGAAATGGTCAGGGGAAATTAAAATTATCTGGGGGAGTTGAAATGGTCAGGATTGGGTGGGATTTGGGATGGAGCTCCCAGAAAAGCTTTTTTTTCCAGGGAATTTCTGCTTTTTCACCCTTCACAATCAGCAGCTTCACTGAATTTCTGTCCTCACCTGAAACTCCTCCGTGTGCTTCCCGTCAGTATTTTAATCCTTAATTCAATTAATTCCATCCCTGCCAGCGCCCAAGGCTGGGCTGGAGCAGGCTGGGATAGCTGGGAATGGACCTTTAAGGCCCTTCCAAGCCCAAAATTTTGGAATTCCATGAGACCCAACCAATCCAGGTGGAGTTCATCCCTGGAGCAGTGCTCACCAGCCACCCCCAGCAACCATTTCCCTGGCTGGAATTTTTTGGGAATGCTTTTCCCAAGCCCCATTTTCCCTGGATTTGCCCTCTGTGATCCCTTTTTTTGTTGTTTTTTTTTTGTTTTTTTGGTTTTTTTTTTTCCCCCGTGTTGCAGCCCACACCAAGGACATGCCCTTCACCTGCGAGACCTGCGGCAAGTCCTTCAAGCGCAGCATGTCCCTCAAGGTGCACTCCCTGCAGCACTCGGGGGAAAAACCCTTCAGGTGTGAGGTGAGGCAGCTCCCCAGGGCTGGATCCGTGGGGAAAAATCCATGGGAATCATCCATGGGAAGCGGGAGTGGGGTGGGAATTAAGAGAGATTCCCAATTCCAGCTTCCAGGGATCCTCGGGGATCTCTGGAGGGACTGAGGGGTTAAATCCATGGGGTAAATCCATGGGGTTAAATCCATGGGGTAAATCCATGGGGTAAATCCGTGGGAATGCTCCTGGGAGGTGGGAATGGCCTGGGATGAGATGGGAATTAAAGGCAATTCCATCAAAGTTTGGGAAATTTGAATCACCAAGTGCTGATCCCAGCACAGGTTCCTCCTCAGGGATCTCTGGAGGGACTGAGGGGGTAAATCCGTGGGGTAAATCCATGGGGTTAAATCCATGGGGTAAATCCATGGGGTAAATCCATGGGAATGCTCCCAGGGGGTGGGAATGGGATTGGATGGGGTGGGAATTAAGGGCAGTTCTATAAAAATTTGGGGAAGGGCTGCGAGGAGCTGGTTTGGAGGGAGGCGGGGTCCTCTAGTGGAGAGAGAGAGGGGCTGAGCTCCACCCCCACAGAAACCCTTTTTTCCTGCAAAAATCCCATCCTTGACAGGCTCTTCCCACCTCATTCCAGCTTTTCACACCCAATTCCAGCTTTTCACACCCAATTCCAGCTTTTCACACCCAATTTAGGCTTTTCCCACCCAACTCCATCTTCTTTTCCCACCCAATTCCAGCTTTTCCCCCACCCAATTCCAGCTTTTCTCACCCAATTCCAGCTTTTCCCACCCAATTCCAGCCTCCTGATCCAGACCTTTATCCCCTTATCAATAAACCAATAAAACCCTTTTTTCTGGTGAGGTGTTGTCGCCCAACCCTCCCCTCCCAACCCTTCCAGGGCTCCCTCCCGTCTTCCCAAATGCCCCAAATTCCCATTTTTTTTTTTTTTTCTCCCCAGAACTGCGACGAGAGGTTCCAGTACAAGTACCAGCTGCGTTCCCACATGAGCATCCACATCGGGCACAAGCAGTTCATGTGCCAGTGGTGTGGCAAGGACTTCAACATGAAGCAGTATTTCGATGAGCACATGAAAACCCACACTGGTGAGGGCTGGGGGGAGCAGATTCCCCTGGAATTCCCTCGGGGTTTGGGGTTTTCCAGCTGGGAAAATGGCCTGGGAGAGAGAGAGGGGGTCGTTCCTTGCCTCTGGTGTAAAAATCTTCACTGGGATTCCCCCGTGGGGGAAATGGGGGTTGGGAATTATTTCCTGGGTGTTTTTGGGAGCCCTTAACTGGAGCCTTTTGGTCCCAAATCCCGAGGAGAGCCAGGATTTCCTAAATACCCATTGATCCCCAAAGGCAGTGAGTGGTGTTTCCCCTTGGATCAGGAGAGTTTTCCAGGGGTTCTCTCAGAGATGCAGGGATTTTTCCAGGGATTCCCTATGGATCAGAAGATTTTCTAGGGGCTCCCTATGGATGAGAGGACTTTTCCAGAGG